TCTCCAGTCCTTGGCAAGAGTATTTGTTCTTGGGGAGTGACCAGGTTCCATCAGTGCTCCGAGCTATGGGTTGAAGCCACAGACCAAGCTGTTAAGTCCTTGCTCCCAGCACAAGGCTTTCTGTTCATGCCATTTTGCATCCTTCTTAAACCCGCAGGGAGAGAAGCACTCTACCTAATCCACTTGCCTGCTACAAGCACCGTGGCCGAGAATTCTCCACCTGAGACTCCAGTGCACAAGTTTTCTGTGAACTTATCAGCCTCGCTGTCACCTGTGATCCCAGGGTGGCCCCTGATTATCAACACAAGCCCCCTCACTGATGCCTTCAAGGTGAACTGGCTGTCAGGCACTGACTTTGAGGTAAGCACATCTCACTTGGGAGTTGTCCACAGAGAGGGGTCCTGAAGGTAAGGGTGGAGGGGATTCTAGATTGGTGAGCATTTCCTTCTCTTTCCCTGGCTCACTCTCCCCTCTAGTAAGACCCAGAAGGCCCATCTGGGGACATCTGAGAGCCCTCTATGCGAGAGGTCCCTAAACACTTTGGACCTTCTTTCTCCACTTAATCCAGTGCAATGGGCAATAGGCTCAAATTGTTACAAATAGAAGTCCTGTTTCTCATTGCCACCCACCCTCACATGACGTCAGGTGTTAGGTGTGTGCTGACAGTATCTAAATCCTATCCTTTGGGTGGCATAGTGTGGGCATTCATCTCCTCAAAAGCCAGGCCCTGATGAACTTGTGTCAGGTGATTCTGCTTTTCTCGAATTCCGTGATTTTCCAGGAGAAAATCTATGAGGAGACTTATTTAATATGGAAGAGCATACCTTTCATAAAAATACAAGCCTGAGGGGCGCCTGGGTGGCTCAGTTTGTTAAGCGACTGCCTTCGGCTCAGGTCATGATCCTGGAGTCCCTGGATCGAGTCCCGCATCGGGCTCCTTGCTCAGCGGGGAGTCTGTTTCTCCCTCTGACCCTCTTCCCCTCTCATGCTATCTCATTCTCTCTCTCAAATAAATAAAATCTTTTTTTTTTTAATTTTTTTTTTTAAGATTTTATTTATTTATTTGAGACAGAGAGAATGAGATAGAGAGAGCATGAGAGGGAGGAGGGTCAGAGGGAGAAGCAGACTCCCTGCCGAGCAGGGAGCCCGATGCGGGACTCGATCCCGGGACTCCAGGATCATGACCTGAGCCGAAGGCAGTCGCTTAACCGACTGAGCCACCCAGGCGCCCCATAAATAAAATCTTTAAAAAAAAAAAAATACAAGCCTGAATGTCCAGCCGTGCTGCATGAATGATTCCTCTTGGATAATTCAGACCCCGTCATTCACATTCAGGAGCTATTACACCCCTGCTCTCTTTTCTAGTTTGTCATTTAAGTCTTTTTCAAAGTTGGTGCTCCTCCTTAGGTAGGACAAACCTACCTGCGTGTTTTCCACTGGTACCTTCAGAGGCCCTTCTAGGGATGACTTTAGGGTCCATGTGTCTGAACCCTCCCCACCCCTGCCCTTCCCTCAATTGGCATAGGAACCTCTGGCAATTAACATTAGCCCTGACTTGGGTCCTGCCTGCCATTGCCCTGGGGATGTGGTGGAACCCCGTGGGCTCAGCCTGCTTCGTCGAGGCCGGTTGCCTCCTCGAGGTACATACTAGGTGTTCTTAAACACAGCTGATCGTGAGAGTCCCAAGGGGAGCTCTTAAAAAGTGTGCATGTCTGGGACATGTAGCAGAACTCAGGAAGGCAGTATTCTCAGCACCCCTGGGGGCAGGTTCTTTGATGCATACAGAGCACACATTCAGCATCCAGTGTAGAGTCCCCGGGCCCAGAGGCTGGTTCTGTGACTCCTCTGCCCTATCTCCCTGGCCCTGGACATCTGGCTCGTCTTCCACAGCTGCTGCTCATCTGGCCCTAGAAGCCCTGCCAAGGGCTTGCACATGTATAGCATGGAGTATATGTTGGACGCTGCGGCACGCTTCACACGTATTTCCTCTTGAATACAAACAATCCAATGATTTTATTTATGTTACTATCCCCTTTTCACAGGTGGAGGAAACTGAAGCAAAACTCATTAAATAACTTGCCCTGGGTTGCGCAGCTCTTCCGGGGTTGAGCTGAACCTGGAACCCAGGCAGTCTGACTTCAGACCTCTGCCTATTTTTGGAAACGATATAATTCATACAGCATGCAATTCACCCATTGAAAATGTACAATTCGGTGGTTTCTACTGCATTCACAGACCATCACCACTATCTACTTTTAGGACACTTTCCCTATTTGCCCCAGTCCCTGGCACCCCCTGATCTCCTTTCGGCCTTAATGGATTTGCCTATTCTGGGCATCGTCTATGAATGGATTCACATTGTACATGGTCTTTAGTGACTGGCTAGTATCCTTTAAGCCTGGGTCAACTCTTCCTTCCTTTTCGTGGCTGAGTCATATTCCACCGTATGGACAGACCACGGTTTGTCTCTCCGCTCAGCAGCTGACAGACTTCAGGGTGGTTCCCCATTGAGGGCTCTCACCCTCTAGAGTCTACTGCCTTCGATGACGAGGAGGAGGGTGACCATGCAGAGGTCCCATTGCGCACTCGCGACCTCACCTCTGGATTGTCACTACCGACACCGATGCTACCACCATGGAAGAGGCTTTATTCCCATTTTCGACCAAGATCGCAGAGAGACAGCAAGGTCAGCTGGTGTGTCTGAGATCACGTAGCCCTAACAGATGAAGCCAGAACTTAACTCAGGTCTGCTGATGGCCAATCCTAGGCTCTTTCTCCCCCATGGCCCTGCGCATCTGTTGCTGGTTTGGGGAGCCCCCCACATCAGGTGAAAGGACCTATCCTTTCCATGTTTGATGTGATTCCGACAGGGCTGACAGTCAAGGAAGAATTCCATCCTGTGTCTGACCTCTAGAAATGGGGGCTTTTTTAGCACCTCAGCTGAGGTAGGCTCCAGTGTTTAGTGTACTGTCCCAGGCCTGGCGCCCTCCTGGACGCTGTGTCGGTACTAGGATGGGCCACAGATCCATGGGCCCTGAAGCATTGGTTGCTTCTCCCCAGAAACCACCCAATAGCATCAACTATCCCCTCCAGAAAGATCCTATTGTCCAGCCCAAAATGCTCACAAGAGCTGCTTCTGCTGCCTACAGAACAGGTCAGGGGCATCCCCGTGGCGGAACCTGACTTCTCCTTGGGCCGACTTGACACTCTGCAGGAGAAAGCTAGCAATGAGGTTTTTGGGTCTCTGGCCCAGAGGTTTAGTCACTGTTGGCCTTGGGACTCAGTTGTACAAGGCTTTCTGAGGGTGACCTCTGAATCATGCCAGAGACCAGGCCTCTCTGCTTTCAAACACAGCTGCTGGGACTTCTGGGGGCCCGGGGAAAGTAAGGAGGGTTAATAATAATGATGCTAATGATAACAACTCCTATTTATGGTGCGTTGACCATATGCCAGGAATCCCCCTAAACATTTTGTGAATTCATTTATTTAATCCCCATAACAGCACCACGACGCGGTGTGCTGCTATTATTTGCATGTTAGAGGTGGGGAACGGCAGCACAGAGAGGTCTCGCCTGCTACATGCCAAGCACGGGAGACAGGTCATCTTCACGTATGTGGGTGCCAGGCTGACACTGCTCACAGGCAGAGACGAGACTACCTCATTTCCTCTCTCAATCCTCCTCTGCATGCACTCGTTCCCATCTGTGGTTGTCTTCTCTCAACCAATCGAGATCTCGCACAGCCTCCTCCATGAAGACTTCCCTGACTATACACAGCTCACAATGAACTTTGCCTAGAAGTCAGCACTTCTAGCGTTTTGTTATAAGACCATGTTTTGTACTTCAGCTCTTTAACTAGGGCAAGGAGTATTTCCCTAATTATAATCACGTGGAAACAAAATCAGGGAAAGGTGGCAAAGGACTTTCCCAAGGTCACACCAAAGTTCAGCTGTGACAGTGAGATTGGAGCTAAGCAATCTCCTAAGGGCGGGAGACTGAACGCCTGCCTGGCCTGAGTTGTATTAATAAACAAAATTTCCATTAGCATAATTAAGACATTTATGAAATTTAGTCCTTGAGGTCCCAAAGAGCTCTGGGTGCTCGGCGGTCTAAGCTGGTGGCCGGAGTGTGCACGTAGGCACGGGAGGTCACAAGTTGGCCTCCGGCTAGCCTCAGCAGGACCCTCCCATCGTGGGCCAGCCGGGTTCCTGCTGACAATTCCAGTGATGTTTCTCTGGCCCTCGTTCTTGGTGTCCCTCCCACATCTCCAAAACACTTATAGGGCAGGAGACAAGTTTCCATGAGCGGGAGAATGTGTGGAAATGCACAAAAACACTGAGCCGGCTGTTGATGTAAGTATATATTGTTCCTTATTTCTGCAGATGTATCCTTCCCTTGTTTATTCACGGTCGTGGCCTTGGGAAAATTTGCATGGAGAGCCGAGTCAGATGTGACTTAACAGCAATCCCAGGAAAGTGCAGTGGCTTATTCTTAAAGCCCAGGAAGCCCAACTATGTTCAGGGTTGCTAAGGGGCTTGTCTGGGTGCCTACCCCAAGCAGTGACAGGGTTTTAATTCCTGGCTTTCTATCTCCAGTCGATGGAACCAGGATGTCGCCTAAATATTTTCTTTCCTCTGAAAAGCAGCATCACGCACAGGAGTCCCCTTGGAAAAAGGTCACGGGGCTTATGTTGGAAGGACTAAGGCAAAACAACCGGTTCCTCTGATGGTGGGGGAAAGATGGTTTCCAGGATGCTGGTTGCTTCCTTCCTAGTAACGTCCCTTTGCAAAATGCATGCATACAAAACAGATCTCCTTTCACATGGTTACTAAGAATTCTGCCTTTGCTTTTAGGTTGTCACCACTGGGACGGAACAACTAGACTTTGAAACAGGACCAAACGTATTTGATTTGCAGATTTATGTCAAGGATGATGTCGGTGTCACTGATCTCCAGATCCTGACTGTCCAGGTGACAGATGTGAACGAGCCGCCTCAGTTCCAAGGCAACTTGGCAAAAGGTAAGATACACTGGGCTGTGCAGTGCGGCCCAGACGGTGGCATCAGGGGGCACCCTGGGGGACAGAGCAAAACAGAAAAGTAAGTAAACAAGCAGCTGTTTGCCTATAAGAGGCAGCTGCTTAATGAGCAGGGAATAAATGAAATGTCCTCCAGCACAGGACTCCCCAAAATGATGCCCAACAGTTTACAAAGCCCCTCACTTCCGTGGTTTCTCTTGGGCCTCTCTCAGTCCTGGGGAGGAAACTGAGGCTCAGGAACCTCGCGAGGGGGTCGTTCTGGAGGAAGCTGGGCCGAGCCCATCGGAAGCTCATCCCCATGTGCTGTGGTCATTAACTGATGTGTTCATTCTCCCCACGGACCCCCGGAGGGCAGTATGTGACTGGGGTCTGCTGCATAGCAGGGACAATATAAAGGACTGAGCACAGGGTAACTTCGTGCATGGTCTCTCCCAGGCCCATGACTTTGAGCCATACTGACAACCTCCACCTCTGTCACTTTAGTCCAGCTTCTCCTCCAGGCTCCTGACTTAAATATCCAGCCGTCTTATCCCACATCTCTGTCTGCCATGTCTAATAGGCATGTGGGATTTTGTAAGGTGACTTTTGGATGCTCCCAGGTCACCTCAGTGTGGGGGTCGGTTACCAGTGGAGCCAACCATGTGATTAGAAGGTTGGAACTTTCAGTCCCGCGCTCCACCTCACCCCTACCTCTGTGGAGGGCAGGAGGGTAGAGATGGTGCTCAATCGCCAATGGCCAATGATGTAATCAGTCGTGCCGATGTAATTAAGTCCCATAAAAGCGCCGAAGGATGGGGTTTGGGGAGCTTCCAGGTTGATGAACCGTCTCGCCCTTCCAGGCGGGTGGTGTGCCCAGAGAGCGTGGAAGCTCTGTGCTCCTTTCCCCACATTATGCCCTATGCGTCTCTTACATCTGTCAGTTCCTGAGTATATATCCTTTTGTAATAAACCAGTAATCTAGGAAGTAAAGTATTTCCCTGAGTTTTGTGATCCCCTCCAGCAAATTCATCGAACCCAAAGAGGGGATGGTGGGAAACTCAGATTTATAGCTCGTGGGTCAGAGGCACGGGGAACAACCTGAACTTGAAATTGGTGTCTGAAGTGGGGGTTGGGGGTGTCTCGTGGGGCTGAGTCCTTGGTCTGTGGAATCTGAAGGCTGTCTCTGGGTAGCTAGTATCAGAATTGAGTTGAATTGTAGAACCCCCAGCTGGTGTCAAAGGATCGCTTGGTGGTGCAGGAAAATCCCCCACACATTAGAATTGGTGTCAGAACACGACATCTCAAACGTAACATGCCCCCAAATCAAACTCTTGACTTCCACTCCACCCCTGGCCTCCACCATCCCCCCCCCAAATCTGCTTCTCCTGTCTTTCCCATTTTAGCTACTTCAAAGCTTCGAAGTCAGCTTTGACTCTTCCGCCTTTCACACCCAACATCAAATCCATGAGGAAATCTTGCCACTTCCAAGTCTATGCAGTCTGACTGCTCCCTGGCACCTCCATCCACACCACCACGGTGCAAGTCAGTAGTCATGTGTCGCATGGATTATTGCGATGGTGGGCTAACCGGCCTCCCTGCTCTGCTCTTGTCTCTGTCCATCTATTCTCTGCATAGCAGCCAGAAAGATCCTGTTGATCTCAGTCAAATCAAGGCACTCCTCTGCTTAAAACCCCACAAGAACTTCCATCTCCCTCAAGAGGAGAGCCAGAGTCTCCTTAAGGCACCATCAAATCTGGCCCCCTCCCACCCTCACCCTGTCGTCTTCCACACATTTCCTCCCACCCCCTCCGCTGTGGCCCCCGTACCACCCGCGCCTTCGCCGGCATCTCCGCAGTTGCTCTTTGCCCCTTCCCCCATATCTCTACGATCCTCATTTCTTTAAGAATCTAGACTCAAGTGTCGCAAATCTTCCACAACCACTCCATTTCACACTGTAACCCAACCCACAACACTCCATTCCCTGATTTTCTCCAGGACCTTGCTCAGTAACGTTCACATATTTTGCTCATTTATTTTATTGTCCGTATCGTCCCACTATCGTGCAAGCTCTGCAAGAGCGGGGTTTTGTGTTCCGTGAACCGCTATGTTCCCAGTGCATGGATAGATCAGTGTCTGGTACCGAGTGAGAACCCAGTAAACATCATTTTGAGTGAAAGCACGAGCAGTGATAAAGGTGAATGAGAGCTGCAGCTCAGATCTAAGACAGGCTGGGTTTGAAGTTTTATGCTCTCACTTCCTTCCTCGCTGAGACCTCCTAACTTCCCCGAGCCTATTTCCTCGTTTGTAAAGTGGAAAGAATTGCAATACTTACGCACGGGGGTTATGACGATAAAGGAGAAAACATAAGCCCTCAGCACCGTGGCTTCAATGAGTGAGCTGACGTGGACATTCCCAGCCCTCCCGCAGAAGGATGGGCTCTCAGAGAGGCCAGAGTGGAGGGGCGCAGCCCCTCAGGCCGGGCTGGTGGTGCCAAGTGCCGGGTTCCCCCTGGCTGCCCAGAACTCTGAAGGAGATGAAGTCAATTTCTGGTCCCCTCCCGGAGCCTCTGCAGCCCTCTCCCTTAATCCTGCTGCAAGTCCTTTTGGCCGACATGCTAAGTGCACTTCAATAGGAGACCTCCGCTCAGTTTTGGAGGAATTTGCACGTGAAAGTGAATCAGGAACAGGGAGCAGCCTCACACGGAGGTTCCTCCCCTAGATCACCTCTTAGCGGAGGAAATGCGGGAAGATGTGATCCCAGCTTGGCCCCTCAAGTACTTTATAAATTCCCATAAGCGGTTCGCTCACTGCAGCTGGCCCGCGGGCTGACTCCCGGCCTTTATTCCTGCATGCCTCCTTCCCACGATGCCAATGTGCTTGGTTCTCCTTGGCTGGGTGCGGCTGTCCTGGTTCTGTAATTCCTTATTTGCTTTATCTAATAAAATGCCTCTTCCTCCACTTTGGATGCTGATCTAGGTCTAGACCTGTACATACCGGAAGGAGCAAACCCGGGATTCATTTACCAGGTTGAGGCCTTTGATGCAGAAGACACAAGCCGAAACATACCCCTCAGTGTAAGTCTCCTTGATAAACAAGACGGGCTTCTCCGTGCTGTCTTTGACATGGGAGCCTGGAGCCTCGGCCAGGGGCTTGGGCAGTGGTGAGGGGAAGAATAGGCTGTCCACAGCCACAGCATAGAGAACGGGGGATGTCGGAATGGGTAAGGGAGCTCCAGACATAGACACCCCAGATTAGACTCGTGGCTCTGTGTGAGCTTGGACATGTTCTTAACCTCTTTGAGCTTCCATTTCTTCATCTATAAAATGGAAGAATAGCACCTACACAGCTGGAGAATTCCAAGTATGAGAGAACGCACACAAGGCCACTTAGCACAGTGCCTGGCATGTTGAAATTGCTCAGTATTTTTAAATTCCAAGGGGATAAAAATCCAGCTGTATTCTTTTAAAAGTAAGCAAAAAGTGTGTACCCCAAAGGCCGGCATTAACACTTCCTTTTCAAGAGATGACGTCAAGCTACTTGGAGCCAAGTTAAAAAATAAATAAAAAAGTTGAAAGAGAATCCCAGAAATTCCAAAGAAGAGAGGGGGAATCCCACAGAGAATAACCGGAGGCCAGGTCCTGGAGCGTTCCCTCATGGTTCAGTCTGAGACAGCTGATCTCTCTTCTCTTCCTTCTAAATCCATTTCCTTCACGCAGTTATCAGTGGACCTCTTGTAACCACGAACCCTCAGGCGAAGGAGGCTCTCAGCTTGTCCCTGGGCCAGGACGCTGTGGCTCCTAGCTCTGTCCCCCCAAGTGGCTCCTGCATCCTGCAGTTGGGCAGCCCAGGCTTGAGAAAAAAACCAAAGCCCACACCAGCCAGCCTACTAACCTTGGAGCAGGCATCCTTACGGAGAAGCATTTACTTGAAATACGACACTCAGGGAATTGGTAACACCGGGAGGCTGTTTCTGCTGCTGGGGCTTGATTTGCAGCTTCGACCCGGCTACTTTTTCTAACAGGAGGAAGTGAGCCTCCGAAATAACCTCCAGGACCCATATAATACGGTCCGCAGGGTCTGAAACAAAGCTGTTTTCAAATTAGCAGACACATCTTGAGTTAGGGAATAGTCTGTTCTTATCAGAAGATGACCCTTCTGTCCCCAAAATCATTTATTCAAGGTTCTGTTTGCATGAATAAGTGGAATAGGCAAACACTTAATGGGTCTCTACTATGTGCTAAGAACAATACGAGGTGCTTTAAATGCGTTCTTATGATAACATCCTTGTTATATCAGTTATAAATATGTTTGTCTAAAAATAACAGAAAACCACAGTGGCAGGTGTGGGATTTTTTTTTTTTCTCCCCTAACAAGAAGTGCAGAGGTGGGCAGGCGGTCCAGGGCTGGTTTTGTCCTCTCTTTGTTCCCCTCATGATTACAATGTGGCTGCTATTCACCTCCAGGCTTTACCTTTAAGTTCCAGGCAGGAAGAAGGGAAGAAAAAAAGTAGGAAGGGGTACAGGGTGAAGGGATCAGGCCAGCCCAGTCTGTATGTCAAAGATCCTCCTGGAGGCCCTACCCAGAGGATTTCTGTTTACTTCTCACTGGCCAGAAGGGTTGGCCGCTGTTGTTTGATGGTAACCAGGGGAGAAGAGATTCCGGATGCGTCAGCAACCCAAAATATAGTATCTCATTTATACATTGAGTTCTCTTCAGCACTTACCAAGAATTCACTATGTGCCAGGCTTTCTATTAAATACTTTGGGCACAAAGATGAGTAAGAGCCATCTTTGTACCTCAAGAAGTTTACAGTCTGGGTGGGAGACGTTCATGCATAGACCAAATTATTATAATTCAGTAAGATAATTACTATAAAGTTCATACAAGATGCAGTGGAGGCCAAGTGGAAGGAATCTCAAGTGTCAAGAAAAATGTTTCTTTTTAAATCTCCATCTTTAAATTATGCAGAAGGAATAAGGTCACGGCGGCCCCTTTAAAAAGCAG